TATTGGAAGTTCTGGCCAGAGCAATCAGGCAAGAGAAAGAAATAAAGGGTATTCAAATATGAGGAGACGAAGTCAAATTGTCTCTGTTTGAAGATGACATGATTGTATATTTTAAAGAGCCTATCATCTCAGCCCAAATACTCCTTAAGCTGTTAAGCAACTTCAGCAAAGTCTCAGGATACATTTCTTTTTCTTCTTTTTTCTTTTGGTTTCTCTTCTCGCTTCATTTCATTCATTTGATCCTCAATCGCAGATACTCTTTCTTCCAGTTGATCGAGTCGGTTACTGAAGCTTGTGCATTTGTCACGTATTTCTCGTGTCATGGTTTTCATCTCTTTCATTTCGTTTATGACCTTCTCTGCATTAATTACTCCAGCCATCAATTCTTCCACTCTTTTTTCAAGATTTTTAGTTTCTTTGTGCTGGGTACGTAATTCCTCCTTTAGCTCTGAGAAATTTGATGGACTGAAGCCTTCTTCTCTCATCTCGTCAAAGTCATTCTCCGTCCAGCTTTGATCCGTTGCTGGCGATGAGCTGCTCTCCTTTGCCGGGGGAGATGCGCTCTTATTTTTGGAATTTCCAGCTTTTCTGCCCTGCTTTTTCCCCATCTTTGTGGTTTTATCTGCCTCTGGTCTTTGATGATGGTGATGTACTGATGGAGTTTTGGTGTAGGTGTCCTTCCTGTTTGATAGTTTTTCTTCTAACAGTCAGGACCCTCAGCTGTAGGTCTGTTGGAGATTGCTTGAGGTCCACTCCAGACCCTGTTTGCCTGGGTATCAGCAGCAGAGGCTGCAGAAGATAGAATATTTCTGAACAGCGAGTGTACCTGTCTGATTCTTGCTTTGGAAGCTTCCTCTCAGGGGTGTACTCCACCCTGTGAGGTGTGGGGTGTCAGACTGCCCCTAGTGGGGGATGTCTCCCAGTTAGGCTACTCAGGGGTGAGGGACCCACTTGAGCAGGCAGTCTGTCCCTTCTCAGATCTCAACCTCCGTGTTGGGAGATCCACTGCTCTCTTCAAAGCTGTCAGACAGAGTCGTTTGTGTCTGCAGAGGTTTCTGCTGGTTTTGTTATTTTTACTGTGCCCTGTCCCCAGAGGTGGAGTCTACAGAGACAGGCAGATTTCCTTGAGCTGCTGTGAGCTCCACCCAGTTCGAGCTTCCCAGCAGCTTTGTTTACCTACTTAAGCCTCAGCAATGGCGGGCGCCCCTCCCCCAGCCTCACTGCTGCCTTGCCGGTAGATCACAGACTGCTGTGCTAGCAATGAGGGAGGCTCCGTGGGTGTGGGACCCTTCCGGCCAGGTGTGGGATATGATCTCCTGGTGTGCCTGTTTGCTTAAAGCGCAGTATTGGGGTGGGAGTTACCCGATTTTCCAGGTGTTGTGTGTCTCAGTTCCCCTGGCTAGGAAAAGGGATTCCCTTCCCCCTTGCGCTTCCCAGGTGAGGCAATGCCTCGCCCTGCTTCAGCTCTCGCTGGTCGGGCTGCAGCAGCTGACCAGCACCGATCGTCCGGCACTCCCCAGTGAGATGAACCCAGTACCTCAGTTGAAAATGCAGAAATCACCGGTCTTCTGTGTCGCTCGCCCTGGGAGTTGGAGACTGGAGCTGTTCCTATTCGGCCATCTTGCTCCGCCCCCCGGAAAATTGAAGTCTCAGGATACAAAAATCAATGTGCAAAAATTACAAGTATTTCTATACACTAATAATAGACAAATAGAAAGCTAAATCATGAGTGAACTCCCATTCACAATTGCTACAAAGAGGATAATATACCTAGGAATACAACTTACAAGGCACATGAAAGACCTCTTCAAGGAGAACTAAAACCACTTCTCAAGGAAGTAAGAGAGGACACAAACAAATGGAAAAACATTCCATTTTCATTGATAGGAAGAATCAGTATCATGAAAATGGCCATACTACCTAAAGTATTTGTAGATTCAATGCTATTCCCATTAAGCTACCATTTACTTTCTTCACAGAATTAGAAAAAAACTACTTTAAATTTCATATGGAACCAAAAAAGAGCCTGTATAGCCAAGATAATCCTAAGGAAAAAGAACAAAGCTGAAGGTATCATGCTACCTGACTTCAAACTATACTAAAGGCTACAGTAACCAATATAGCATAATACTGGTACCAAAACAGATATATAGACCAATGGAACAGAACAAAGGACTCAGAAATAACACCATATATCTACAACCATCCGATTTTTGACAAACCTGACAAAAACAAGCAATGGGGAACTGATTTTCTATTTAATAAATGGTGCTGGGAAAACTGACTAGCCATATGCAGAAAACAGAAACTGGACCTCTTCCTTACACCTTATGCAAAAAGTAATGCAAGGTGGATTATAGACTTAAATCGTAAACCCATGAAAACCCTAGGAGAAAACCTAGGCAATACCATTCAGGACACAGGCTTGGGCAAAGACTTCATGACTAAAATACCAAAAGCAACTACAACAAAAGCCAAAATTGACAAATGGAATCTAATTAAGCTAAAGAGCTTCTGCTCAGCAAAAGAAACTGTCGTCAGAGTGAACAGACAACCTACAGAATGGGAGAAAATTTTTGCAATGTAACCATCTGCAAAGGTCTGATATCCAAAATCTACACTGAACTCAAACAAATTTACAAGAAAAAAATCAAACCCATCAAAAAGTGGGTGAAGGATATGAACAGACACTTGTCAAAAGAAGACATTTATGTGGCCAACAAACATATGAAAAAAGCTCATTATTACTGGTCATTAGAGAAATGCAAATCAAACTAAAAGGAGATACCATCTCACGCCATTTAGAATGGTGATCATTAAAAGTCTGGAAACAACAGATGCTGGGGAGGATGTAGAGAAATAGGAAATGTACACTGTTGGTGGGAGTGTAAGTTAGTTCAACCATTGTGGAAAACAGTGTGGTGAGTCCTTGGGGATCTAGAACCAGAAATACCATTTGACCCAGCAATCCCATTACTGGGTATATACCCAAAGGATTATAAATCACTCTACTATAAAGACACATGCACACATATATTTATTGCAGCAGTTTGTACAATAGGAAAGAGTTGGAGCCAACCCAAATGCCCATCAATGATAGACTGGATAAAGAAAATGTGGCACATATACACCATGGAATACTATGCAGCCATAAAAAAGAATGAGTTCATGTCCTTTGCAGGAACACAGATGAAGCTGGAAACCGTCATCCTCAGCAAACTAACACTGGAACAGAAAACCAAACACCACAAATTTTTAGTCATAGGTGGGAGTTGAACAATGAGAACACATGGACACTGGGAGGGGAACATCTCACACCGGGGCCTGTCAGGTGGTGGGGGACAAGAGGAGGTAGGGAATTAGGACAAATACCTAGTGCTTGTGGGGCTTAAAACCTAAATGACTGTTTGATAGGTGCAGCAAACCACCATGGCACATGTAAATCTATGTAACCAACCTGCACATGCAGCAGATGTATCCCAGAACTCAAAGTTAAATTTTAAAAAAGAATACAGGAATAGCCGACATAGGGAGCAGTTACTACTCTTAATGCTGGGATAGAGTGCCCAGTGAAGGAAGAAACCTAGAAGATCGTCTTTCCCTTGGCCCAGGACTGAGATCTAGACCTTGTTGGAAAGGTCATGGTCATGACTCACTGTTTGGTAGAGAAATTAGCTGAGATGCTACACTGAAATGACTCACAGAGAATCTGGGGAAATTTGTTTTCTGAAATCCTACGGGGAATTATTCATGAAGAGGTACCCTGCCTTGGAACCTACTTCAGAGGTGCCTGAGGAAGTAGTAGGGGTAGCCATTCATGTGGAGGTGTCATGCAAGCAGCATTTTTTTGGGAAACTGCTTGGGTGGTGATAGGGAAGCATTTTATGGGAAGAAGCCACACTGATGGTACTCTATGCCTAAAGGATTGCCAGAGAGAAGCTTCCCATGGGGTGATGCTGCACATTGCTGTTCACCATTTACTGGATGAGTCTGCTAAGAAGGGCTTTTGGAACTGAAGGCAGTAAATTGATAACTGGAATTTTATTCTTATTATGTGCAGTGCTCTCTGATATCTTTTATTCTGTTTTATTTTTTAAAACAATGCTAGTGTGACACACTTAATTGCTTTAATTGGTCGTGGCCTGTAGTTTAGAAAATAATGAAGTAAAATATATAGAGAGATATAAGCAATGGTTCTTGACTTTGGGGAGCATTAAAACCCAATATGCCAAGATAATATTTTCATAAAGAAATGAAATATAAGGTAATGTAGATCAAGGGTTGCACAAATGCTATGGTCTCATGGGCATCCACTAATCATTAATAGCTTTGAAAGGTATAAATTAGATAAGTAGATAAGTTGGTATATATAGTAACGTATTAGATAAGTAGAGAGGAGTGTGGGGGGCATTGTGCTTGGACTTAAGCAAGTGTATGAATTGCCATTACAGAATTGTAAATATGGACATGATTTGGTCAGACTAGCATTTCATTTATTTGTTTTAACTTACCTTTTATGTATATTGCTCTGTGGGTAGTTTAGAGGATGAATTTGAAGAAGACAACATCAGAGGAAGGGAGATTGTGTAGGAGGTATTATAGTTCTTAAAATGCCTAAAATCGAGTATAAGTAATAGTGATAGAGAGGGAAAAAAGACTAAGAATAATATGGGTAAAGCCATTTCGTATTTGTTCTTGTTTTAATAAGAAGAAAAGGAAGGAGGTAGTTAAGAGTCCCAAGTTTTTGGTTGCAGAGACTGGAGAGATAATGAGGAAAGAACACATGGGAAGGACCAAGTAAGACAGGAAGATGACACATTCAGTTTAGTGAATAATAGTAATTATAATTTAAGCTAACATGAACTGATCACTTACCACACTGCAGTCAGTGTCTTAAGCAGTATATATGTATTAATTAATGTGATACTCATAACAATCCTATAAGGTAGGTACAATTATTAGTATTCCAATTTTCATATAAGATTATGTAACTTTTCCAGGGTCACACAGCACAAGTTGAAGCCGAGATTCAAACTCAGTCTGGTTCCAGAGCCTGTGAAGTGCCTATGGAAGATATTCACGTGGAGATGGATACTCAAATGAATGTAGGTTGAGATGGGAGATCTAGATATGGAAGCCATTAGTAAGTTGGTTGATAGTTTAAAAAAGAAGAGGTGAATGAGATCACCTGGGAAGTATATTAAAGAGTGCAAAAAGTTAGGAGGCGGCCAGATTAGGAAGGACCTTGAATGACAAATTTGCATTTTTAGCTCTTGAAAGTGGAGTGCTGCTAGAACTTTTTAACTCAAAACGAGATGAGGCAGGGATGTGCAAATATGGCTGTAAATGTAGGCAAAAGCTTTGTGGGGCAGAGAATAAAAGGAAAAAGACCAGTTAGTGGATTTTGGTCATCAGTTATGAGACAATAAAGACCTAGGTCAGTGTTAACAAAGAGGCTACAGAAAAAAGGGGTCTCTAGTCATCTGGTGGGCAGCATTTGAGTACAGTCATGTATCACTTAACTGTAGGGATTCTTTCTGAGAAATGAATTGTTAGGCAATTTTGTCATTATGCGAATATCATAGAGTATACTTACACAAATCTAGATGGTATACCTTGATATGGTTTAGCTCTGTGTCCCCACCTAAATCTCACCTTGAATTGTAGTCCCATATCCCCATGTGTCATGGGATGGACCCGGTGCTCAGAGATAATTTAATCATGGGAGCAGTTACCCTCATGCTATTCTCGTGATATTGAGTGAGTTCCCACGAGATCTGATGGTTTTATAAGGGGCTTTCCCCCTACTGCTCGGCACTTTTCCCTTTTGCTGCCATGTGAAGGACACGTTTGCTTCCTTCCACCATGATTGTAAGTTTCCTGAGGCCTCCCCAGCCCTGCGAAACTGTGAGTCAAACCTCTTTCCTAGTCTCGAGCAGTTCTTTATAGCAGCATTAGAATGGACTAATACAAGTCTATTATACAACCAGACTATATGGTATAGCCTCATGTTCCTAGGCTACAAACTTCTCCAGCTGTTACTGTAGTAAATACTGCAGGCAATTGTAACCCAAAGACAAGTGTTTATGTATCTAAACATAGAAAATGGAGAGTAAAAATATGGTGTAAAAGATTAAAAATGGTACACCTGTGTTTGACACTTCCAGTGAATGGAGCTTGTAGAACTGGAAGTTGCTCTGGGTACATCAGTGAGTGAGTGGTGATTGAATGTGAAAACCTAGGACATTGCTATACATACTGTAGACTTTATAAACACTGTATGCTTAGGCTACAGAAAATTTATTTTTAAATTTTTATTTAATAATAAACCTTCACTTACTATAACTTTTAACTTCGTGAATTTTGAAAAGGTTTTAACTTTTAAATTTATTTATAATAACACTTAGCTTAAAATACAAATACATTGTATAGCTATACAATATGTATTCTTTATATCCTTATTCTATAAGCTTTTCAATTTTAATTTCATTTCATTTCTTTTAACTTTTAAAACTTTTTGTCAAAAGTAAGACACACACACATTAGTGTAGGCCAACAGAGGACCAGGATCATCAATATCATTCTCTTCTACTTCCACAACTTGTGCCACTAGAAGATCTCCAGGGGCGGTAACATGCATGAAGCTGTCACCTACTATGATAACAATGCCTTCTGGAATACCTCCTGGAGGGCCTGCCTGAGGCTGTTTTACAGTTAACTTAAAAAAAAATAAAAACTAAGTAGAAAGTGTACACTCTAAAATAACAATAAAAAGTATGGTGAAGTAAATACATAAACCAGTAACATAGTTGTTTATTATCATTGTCAAGTATTATTTACTGTATATAATTGCATATGCTCTATGTTTGTGTGACTGGCAGCATAGTATGTTTGTTTACACCAGCATCACCACAAACATATGAGTTATGCCTTATGCTACAATGTTATAATGGTTGCAGAGTCACTAGGTGATGGGAATTTTTCAGCTCTATTATAATCTTATGGGACCACCAACATATATGTGATCCGTTGTTGACCAAAACATCGTTATGTGATGCTGACTGTACATATCTTCAAGGTTTTCTGGGTTTGCCCCAGCTTTTGCCTGAAATGTCTAGTTTCACCATGGTGCCAGTACTTCAGGGTTAATTCAGGTACTAGTACAATTCAACACAAACTACCTCCTTCAGTATATTCCTAGAGTACATAATGACTAAAATATTCTTTTTAGCCACCAGATTATTGTTGCCTTCATCATTATATTTTACTTTGGGGACAGCTTTACTGAGATATAATTTATACATCATACAATGCACCTGCTTAAAGTGTACAATTTGGTGGCTTTTAATGTTTTCAAAGTTATGATTCCATTATGACAATTCATGTTAGAACATTTTCATTACCCCAAAAAGAAATCCTGCATCTCTTAGCCATCATCCCCTAATCAATACATTTCCTCCAGCCCAAGGCAACCACTAATCTACTTTCTGTTTTAACAGATTTGTCTATTCTGAGCATTTCATCTAAATGTAATCATAACATTTGTGGTATTTTGTGACTAGTTTCTTCCACTTTGTATGTTTTCCAGGTCTATGCATGTAGTAGCCTGTATCAGTACTTCATTCATTTTAATGCCCAAACAATATTCCATTTATAGATATACTACATGTAGTTTATTGATTCACTAGTTAATGAACATTTGGGTTGTTTCTGTCTTTTGGTTGTTATGAATAATGCTGCTATGAACATTTTTGTACAAGTCTTTTTGTTGACATATGGTTTCAGTTCACTTGGGTATGCACCCAGGGAGTGGAATTGGTGGGTCATGTGCTAACTTTATATTTAATTTACTGAGAAACTGTCAGATTGTTTTGCAAAGCAGATGTACCGTTTTATATTCCCTCCAGCAAATGTATAAGGGTTCTAATTTCTCCACATCTTCATCAACACTTGTTATTATCATTTTGTTAATAGCCATCCTAGTGGGCATTACGTATATCTCATGGTTTTGATTTGCATTTCTCTAATGAGTAATGATGCTGAGCATCTTTTCCTGTGCTTATTGGACTACTTTGTATTTTAGCCCATCTGACAGGTGTGCAGTGATATCTCATTTGTGTTTTTAATTTGCATTTCCTTAGTGGCTAGTGATGTTGATCATCTTTTTATGTGCCTGTTTGCCATCTGTATATCCTCTTTGCTAAAATGTATTTTCATGCCTTTTGCTTGCTTTCTAATTTGATTTATTTTTACTCTTGAGTTTTGAGAGCACATTCTAGATACTGGTCCTTTATTGGATATGCAGTTAAATATTTTCTTCTAACCTGTAGTTTGTCTTTCATCTTCTTAACAGAGTATTTCACGGAACAAAAACTTTATGTTGATAAAATTCAGTCTATCGATTTTTCCTTTATGAATTGTGCTTTTGGTGTCAAGTCTAAAAATTCTGCCTAGCCCTAGATCCTATGTATTTTCTTCTGCTTTTTTTTTTTTTTTTTTTTTTTTTTTTTTGCTAAAAGTTTTATAGTTTGTTGTATTATATTTAAGTCTTTGATCCATTTTTAGTAACTGGTAAAAGACATGAGAATCAGATAGAGGTTTATTACCTATGGATGCAGAATTGCTCCAGCATTCCATTTTTGAAAAGGCAACTTGAATTTGCACCTCTGTCAAGTATTAGGCATATTATGTGGGTCTGTTTCTCTTCCACTAGCCTGTCTATTCCAGCATTAATTCCACACAATCTTGATTACTGTGACTATATAACTGTTCAAATCAAGAAGAATGTTTCTTTCCACTTTCTTTTCAAAATTGTTGTAACTGTTTTAGTTTCTTTATCTTTCCATATATATTTTAGAATAATCTTGTCTATATCTACCAAATATCTTGCTAGGGTTTTTGTAGGAATTGTCTTAAGTCTGTATATTTATTTAGGGAAAATCGACTTATTTCTATTTTAAGTATTCCAATCCATGCATTCATACCTCTGCATCTATTTAGATCTTCCCTAATACTTTTTCATCAGCATTATGTAGTTTTCAACATACAGATCCTCTCTATATTTTGTTATATTTATACCTAAGTATTTCAGCCTTTGGCCAAATGTAAATTATAAATGGTATTGTATTTTTAATTTTGTTGTTCACATGGTCATTGCTAATATTTACAGATACACTTGATTTTATGTTGATCTTGTATCCTGAGACCTTGCTGAATTCACTTATTAGTTCTGGGAGTGTTTTGTGGGTGCCTTGGGATTTTCTACATAGACAAGTATATCATCTACTAATAGGGATACTATTATTTCTTCCTTTCCAATTTTATATTGTTATATATAACAGTATATAACAATATATACTGTTATATGTAATTATATATACTGTTATATCCTTGTCTTGCCTTATTGCAGTGTCTGGAATTACTAGAACTATGTCAATTAGGAGTAGTAAGAGCATACATCCTTGCCTTGTTCCCAATTGTAGGGAGAAAACATTCAGCTTTTCACCATCAAGTATAATGCTAGCTGTAGGCATTTTGTAGATGTTCTTTATCAAGTTGAGGAAGTTCTCATGTATTCCTGGTTTTCAGAGAGTCTGTATCATGTAAATGTGTTGAATTTTAGCAAATGCTTTTTCTGCACTGAAGGAGATATATACACACACACACACACACACACACACACACACATATATATATATACTTTGTCTTATTGCGCTTCACTTTATTGCAATTTGCAAGTATTGCAATTTTTTAAACAAATTGAAGGGTTTTGGCAGCTCTGTGTCAAGCAAGTCCATGGGTGCCATTTTTCCAGCAGCATGTGTCACATTTTGATAATTCTCACAATATTTCAACCTTTTTCGTTGTCATTATATCTATTATGGTGATTTGTGATCAGTGATCTTTGATGCTATATTCTAATTGTTTTGAGGTGCCACAAACCATGCCCATGTAAGATGGCAAACTAAATCAATAAATGTGTGTGTTCTGATTAATCCATGGACTGGCCATTAACCCCCTTCCCCTCCCATTTCCTGTCTCTTTCCCTCTTGTCTTGTTTCCCTATTTTCTGAGACACAATGGCCTCTAAATATTCAAGTGAAAG